CACGCAGGTCGTTTTCTCTCGCTGCATTTAAATGTCCTCAATGTGTCACACATGCATGCTTGAACACATGCATCCCTCCGAACACACATGTGGCTCGTGTGCGTGCACACACACACACACACACACACACACACACAGTGAATAACACCTGCCAGGGCACGTGATTCAGAGCCTTTTTATAGCAGTTTTACTGCTGCATGTTACAGTGTAACGGCCGTTTCCCTGCTATCCCACCATCAAACTGTTCATCAGTGTCGTTCCCTTTGAATTGCAGACTGACAGATTGTTAAATAATGTTTCATGATTGCAATAATCGTGTATAGTTTCCATACTGAGATCAACAGTCCTGATGTTTTATTTTTCAATATGCTGCTGCTTCCAGCCGTACGACATAATAAAAGGGTTGAAATATGTTGATATTCCCCAAACTAAGGTAATGAAAATGTATGGTTTCGCTGTCTGTAACAGTTCTCAGGTATCAACCACTCCAGCAGCTCCATCACCTCCTACGCTGTCTGTCCACATGCTTCAGAAGCAAATAACAGTTTTGCTAAATTATGTCTGAACACATTGTCTCTGGCAGCTTCCAGGAGGACGATGGTGTGACACGGCAGCGTCGCATTCAGCTTGGCAAAACTGTCATTTGCTCCGTGCATTCTGAGCGTACAGATGGAAAGCAGACGGGAAAGTTTTTATGCCCCCCCCTCCCCCACCCCCCGCTGTGAAAACACCTGTCACCATTAAAACCACTTCAAGTGGCTGAATTGGAGTTCCTTGCAGGCACCTTTCATTTTGAGTGGAACGTCCCTTTATGAGTATGAATGAATCAGTGATTCTATTTACTGTTGAGTCACTCCGAGTTGCGTCTTTCCCGATGCACCAGTGAACGCAGCATCAGTGAGAGGATGATTAATGAAATGGCAGCTCGTCGGTGTCGCTCAGGTCTCGATGTCGTCCAATCCTCTTCCCGCCTTCGGCGCTTTGGCACGGCCGTCTAAGAGACTCATCCTCCAATGGGAGAGTGTAGATCCCTCTGGAGGCGGGCCAACAGCCCACATCTGACATCATCTTAAGAGTTGGCACAGTTTGGCGGAATGACACTGGCTGTCTCGAACACACACACACACACACACATGAATACACACCTGCGATGGAGATAAGACTGAGACAGAGAAGGAAAGTGGGAAGTCTTGGGAGGGGTGTGAAATTCAAGTGTGTGAATGTATTTATCAGTGTTTTAAAGATGTGTGTGTCTTGGCGTGCTGATTGGTTGGGGATTGTGGGTACACTGTACGTGAAGCGGGATGTGTGTGTGTGTATGTGAAAGGCAGGATGGCAGGTGAGAAGGAGAGAAGTGTTAAGAACGAGAGAGGGAGAGTGTTAGAACGACACAGATGGGATGCTGAGAGGAGGAGGAGGATGAGGAGGATGAAGGGGAGAAAAGCATTTTTGAAGACAAAGAGGAAGTGAGCACGGGCTTTCAGGACAATCAGATATCAAAAAGATCTTGTCCTGAAGTGATTAATCGATCAGTCCATCAGAACAATTGAAAAATTGATGAACAATTGAAGTATTTTATGAAACATGCTCATGTTCCAGCTTCTTAAACGTATGGATTCTCTGTATTTATGTGATTTATGTTGATGTGAATTGAATTTTCTATTGGTTTTCAACCGGTATTCAAACAAAACAAGTAATCTGATTAATCATGTGGAGCATGTTTTACCTTTTTCTTGCATTTTAAAGACTAAAAAAAAAAACAAACAGATTAAATCAGTAATGAAAATAATCTTTAATTGCATCCCTAACTTGATCCCAAACATCTAATTAAGTCTGAGCATCGATATATTGAGTAAAGCCACAAGCGCGCGCTTCAGTAACCAGGCTTCCTGTCATATAAATGAGAAATCTGGTTTCTATAATCAGGATTTAGAGAAACCTGGAGTGAAGTGACTGCAACGCATGTGAAATCACTGCAGCTCCAACATGGGAGCGGCCTTGTCAGCGATGGTGTTCACAAGTGCCTGTGAGACCTGGCTCATAGTGTCTCCCTTCATGTAGTGCTAATGCAGAGTGTGTGTGTGTGTGTGTGTGTGTGCACCCGTGTCAGATCTTCTGTTAATCACAGTATGTCCAAATATGCCCGCGGTCCTCGCCGGGTCCCGCCACCTGCTCCGTCTTTGCGGCGGCTCTGGCACCGCCGCCCCGAGGAGGTCCCTAACATTTCAGCTTCGCTTTATGTCTCTCGCCAGGCCTGCAGCAGCGGCGCCACGCCGGCAGGAGTTTGCGCTCGGGTTCACACACGCCGCCAAAAAGCTGTCCGTCCACGGACCATAAGTCTGGCTCGCTTCCACCTGGACGCTGTTTTCCCATCTGTTTCCATATCAGTGATCAATTCTGACCCAGATCTTGTCGGCTTGTGCAGTTGATCCTCCAGAAATCAGACATGAAAGCCTTTTTTTTCTCTTAAACTAAATCATCCTTTCCTTTGTAAAGAGGCATGTTTATTATTTAAGTAGCTCTGTAGCGAGGAAGCTAATACGCCTCTGGTCAGTTTGATGTTGTAAAACGAGCTCCGGGCCTAAAATGATTAAGTCACATTTACACAAACAAATGTCCTTTTAAAAACCACAGTCAGCAAGTCATGAACTAAGACAAACAGCCTCGTGTTAAACGTGGTGTCAGTGTGTCGAGATCATCCAGTGGGATGTTAAACAGTTGTGGGAAAAGGCAGAGATTATTATTATTGCTGCTCGACTTTTATTCAACAACACAGGGCAAGATTTCAACCCTGACAAACAGGCAAATGACAGGATAAAGGACAGTTTGATGGGTGATATCCATACGTACTGTACTGTAGAACAATCTGGAAATGTTCAATGAGACACTTAGAATCTAAAGGTTTATTCAGTCCATCACTTTATCTGAAACATATATGAATAAGAACGGTTAAGTTAGCGTTAGCATAGATAGGCAACATGACTGAAAGGACAAAAGAAAGGTGAAGAAGACTCCCACGGTCACGGCAGAGGCCTCACAGGTTGATTGACACGTCATCTCTGGGAAGATCGACACAAAAACAAACGGCACGGATGAGAGCTGAGAAAAAGCTTCAGTATGAAAGATGCATTATGTTCTCAAGTCAGCTCCGCTTTGTTTTCAGGGAGTTTTACCGAGTCACCGTCTTTACTTTGACGACGCCGGTGGAGTTATTTCATCCTCAGCGGTCGGAGGGGAGACTCTGATCTGACTGGACGTGAGAGTAAATGACTTCTTAAATGACCTTTTTCTCGGGTTGGATTTTTTTTTTCAAACCCAAGCCTCGAATGTAAAATCTGTCGCTCCGGATCTGTCAGGTTTCATCATCCTCAGCCAAATATCAAGTGGGTGAGAGGAGTTCTAGGGGGTTTGACTGTGTCTTTAGTGTCATCAAACCCATAGAGTTGCTTTAATGGAGTTTTATTGGAGCCTTTATAACTGCCTCTGCATGTTTTAATATCCAGCTTAATAAGTAAGAAGAACCATGGAGTGTAAACGATCTGCGTGTATATATGTATGTAGATTCAAAAATATGAGGGATGGAGTTAGTGTGTGTGTGTGTGTGTGTAAACCTGCAAGTGCGAGCAGTGTGTGTTTGATGTTCCATTTACCCTTTTTCATAATTCATGGCAGTGGGAAAATGGACTAAAGCGGAGGTGGCTATTGTGTGTGTGTGTGTGTGTGTGTGTGTGTGTGTGTGTGTGTGTGTGTGTGTGTGTGTGTGTGTAGCAGGATAACAGGATGAGCGTTCTGTGGTCGGAGATGAAACAGACAAGAGTGTGTGTTTGAAATGCAAAGAGTGGTGATAGCAGTGATTGGCCACTGTGTTGAGGAGGGGCAAGGAGGTTTTTCTCATCATTTCATCATAATACACACACACACACACACACACACATACTCGCTCTCTGTCTTACACACACACACACACACAGTGGTTATTAATGATAGTATTGTTAATTCATTATTATTTTATTTACCTCTGTGACATAAAACTCGGGCTAATTCGGCACAGCTCTGAGCTCTGGGGGTTTTTGTGTGTGTGTGTGTGTGTTTGTGTAGCATTTAGTGTAATGCTTGGCATGCACGCACACACACACACACACACACGTCTAGTGGTGGGGCCTGGGGACCAATTTATTTACATGCAGTGGAAGAGGAACTGAGAAAGGGATAAAACAAAAAGGGGAAAGAGAGAGAAAGAAACAGCAGGGAATTATGGAGAAAATCCATTGGAACGAACAAGTTTCTCGACTGTTCCCAAGGACAGACAAGGCCGATTTACTATTTAGATGGCTCAGTGTGTGTGTGTGTGTGTGTGTGTGTGTGTTACCAGCATCTTATGTGGTTTCTATCATATTTCCAGATTGTAGCAAAACTTGAGTTGAAACTGCAAAACATCTTCTCCTTGTTTGAGTTTGGAAACGAGACGGCGACAAACAACAGGGCGTCGTCTGCACATGGTGGAATCATAGTGTGGGAAGTAAATGTACACGTGTGTCGTCACCATAGACGCTGGAATATGTGTTCAGCAGAGACTGTCCTGTAAAAAAACAAAAAACAAACAAGCACCTTGTGCAGCAGCTTGTTACAACCGAAAGTTACGTTTTCTTGCCGCGCGGCCTCTAGTGGTCGTAGTAATTATGACACGAGCAAAAGAGGAAGTCAGGTGACGCAGATTTCTTCCTACACCTAGCTAAACCGTGGCCATCCCACAACGTTAATTGCGTGTTTATTGTTGTTACCATGACAACAAAAAGTCCGGTACGCCTGCAGCTGGTACGCTGGTGTAGGTCGTGTTGTCGTTACCATGACGACGGAGGTCCGGCATGTCGTGTTATCGTCTTGTTGCACCTTCGCTTTGTTTATGTTTCATTAATGTCGTAAAAACAATGAAGTTTTGTTTGTTTGTTTTGATGGTGACCAGCTTTTTAACGAATCTGTTTCTTCTTCTTGACTTGCAGGCAGGACGCCAGCGACCTCTCTGGACCGATACAAAGGTACTGTGATGCACATTCTTTGTCTCTCTCTTTTTGCCTTTTTACCTCCTCGCTCCTTTCTCTTCCCATCGGCCTCATCCTCAATGAGGCATGCAGTGTATCTCCAGGCTTCAGGCCAAAGACTGACTACTGACTACTACGCCGGAGTGCTGCTGGCGGTGATCTTTGGGTGGGATAACGTAGAAGGACAGGACGCAGATGAGACGAGGTGGTGGGTAAAGAGAGAGGAGAGAGACAGAGAGAAATAAAGGGAGAGAGAAAAGGGAAATTGGAAAGGAGAGATGTGATGCGGCTTCAGATGTACGGCCGAGGAGGGTCATTAAACTAAACCCTTCGGCGACAGAGCGCCAGATCAAGCGAGGGGAGGGCAGAAGGGGAGAAGAAGGTTTAAATAAGGGCCGATCCTAAAATAGCCAAGACCTATTTCTCATCTGAGGCAGAGTTAACAGGAAAAGGACGAATATCCTGCCCTGAAAACCATCAATGCCCCCCCCCACACACACACACACACACACACTCCGCCCAAGTACTTCCAACATGGCGAGAGATAGTGGGTGGAAAAAAAGAAAAAAAGATCTGCACGATCCATTTAACATCACAAGAACCCCCATGAAGAATTACGGTGCAGCTGTAATGCTTTACGATCAGGATTATAGTCTCACTGTCGCAGCACTCGTTAGAAATATCACCGTTTGTTCCAACTACAAGTGCAACTGGTTGACGACCAGCGGCCCGAGCGTCAGCAGGCGTGGCTGTCGGTCCGGTCGTTAACCGTCATGTAATTGTATTGGTTTTTGGTTTTGTTCTGTGACGGACGGGCTGAGACGCCCGACTGGTTGATTGCTGAGCTGCCGTGGAGATGAGTGTGTTTTTATGAATGAAGTGTTGTATGTCAGTGAAAGTGCAGAGGACAAATAATCTGCAGTGGGTTCATGATGCCACGGATGTGCGTGGTCCCGGATTAAATACACGAGTTGTGAGTTTGGACTCTTCTGGTGCGTTTAATGACACTGCAAAACGTAGTGAACCGCATTAAACGTAGCAGAGAAGCTGTAAAGAAACATAAATATTGTGTAGAGGAAATAGTGAATTTGGTCCCTTTTTTTTCTTCTAACGTTAGAGTGGCAACAAAAAGAAACGAAAGACAAAGGTGAGGAAATGTGATGGATTACCTGTGTCAAGCCGGTTTTAAGTCTCTGTGAGCTGCTTTTCATTCTGTGGTGAAATGAAGTGAATCTAATGGCTCCCTGGAAAGTAAGAAAATCCATTTCAGAACTTTTGGTGTATTTGGAAAATACTCAGCGGTAATGTAAAGAATATGTGATTTTAATGGGCCGGATCATGTGCGACCACCGATGTCGTCCTTTAAGTAACTCAGCAGCTGTATGAATTTAACTTTTTTTGCTTTTTATTGATCGTTGTTTTTATCAGTTTAACCTCTAAATAAGCGTTTGGCACTAAGGATGATGAGTTTTACATCACTCCATCTGCGTCACTTCCTCACAACGGAATTGGATGATATTGATTTTAATAGTAAAGTCCTCCATAGGCTCGAGCTACACCTGATGCACGCCGCAGGTGAACCAGCTCCGATCAAAAAACAGGATCCGGCACAGAATGAGACGCCGGCGGAGACGAAGCAAAACACAGGAGGAAAAGAAAGAGACGATGACTGTGGCTGTGAATAATTAGGCAAAATAGTTTGCTTTTGTTTTTCTCTCTGATTGGAGAAAATAGGCGAGGCTGTGACTGTCGCATGAGCTCACACACACACACACACACGCACACACACACACATACACACACATACACACAAGCGATGTGTGTTACACGCTAATCCGCCACACAGCTGCGTCATTCTGGAACGTGTGTTTACTTCCTCTCTGCCTCCGCCGCTGCCGCCGCCACCACTATCACCACCGCCGACCCCCCACAATCCCCTGCAAACACACACACACACACACACACACAAACAAACACACACACAATCACACACACACACACACACACACACACACACACAAACAAACACACACACAATCACACAAAAGAGAACTGGGCGTATAATTTGATCCTCTGCGCTCTCCTCCTCTAATGAAGCTCTCTGGCGGTTTGACTGACACCCGGCTCGTTATTTAAGCGTCTGTTTTGGGCCGGGAGGAGGAAGAGGAGCTGGGGGGGAGGAAGAGGAGGAGGAGGAGGAGGAGGAGGAAGGAGGAGGGGGATGAGGAGAAAGAAATAGGAAAAGTGCAAACAAGGGAGCTGAAAGAGAGGATGGGGGTGGATAACGAGAAGACAGGAAATGAAAAGAGGCTGGAGAGATGGAGTAAGGAAGGAGGAGGAGAGGATCATGGGAGAAAAGGAGACAGAGGGGTGAAAAAAGGAGGGAAAAGATGGAGTGGAGTTTTAAATGAGGACAGCGGCAATCAAGAGAAAAGGAGACAGTTTGGGAGGAGGAAGAGTTGATGCCGGAAACAGGGGTGATAAAGGGTGTGAAGGGATTGTGTGCATGAGTGTGTATATCAGTGTGTGTGTGTGTGTGTGTGTGTGTATAATTGCAGGTCTTTGTGCTGATAATGTTCTTTGAAGGCACACAGCTGATAATTAGCGAGCGTGGCTCCACGGATGCCTTTCAGCGTTGGTCATTATAAGCCGCAAACCTACTATTGGCTCTGACATGACCTCCCGAGACAGGGAGGACGCCGCTCGCACACACACACACACACACACACACACACACACACACACACACATACACACACACATGTGCACGCGCACACACCGCCCTCACATGAAAAAAATACACAAATCGGCGTAAACAAGCGTTGATTAGTGTATGAATAGCATCAGCTCACAAGTGGAACAGATACAACAGCTCTCCAAAGGCCTCAAGTTCCACTTTGGCACGAGGGCTGCAGGTGTGTGTGAGACGCACACACACACACACACACACACACACACACACTTCCTGTTTACAGAGCCAGACACACATAGACAGCAGAGACTATAATTACAGGGATTCACACAATGTGGCGTCCCGGTACGCTGCGTCCGTTATTGCCTCCCCGGTTGCCACATGACAACAGCGGTCCCTCGCTACAGCGAACTGCTCGGCGTGCCGCTCCTGGCCCCGCCTCCTCCAGTATTCCCACATCTGAATATTTATGAGGCAGAAACTGGCTCGCCGCAGTCGGAAGAACACTGGCTGGAGTATTCTCCCTCCTCAACAGTGACAGTTATCAGTGTTAAAGGATCCTTCCTGGGCTCTAATTTATCCCCCAGTGAGAAAATGTTCGACAAGAGATGCAGTGTGGAGGACGCACTTTCTATTAAAACAAAAAAACAAAAAAAACAAAAATGCTCCCAGTCAGCATAACTAGCAAAAAAAAAAAAAAAACCGCACTGTCATTTGACAGCGAGGAGGAGGGGTCGGTTCAGTTTGCCCGTTTGGCGTCGGGTTTTTGTGCGGAAAGTAAAACAGAATGATGCCGTGTGTCTTGACAATCAGGACGATGATGCAGACTTTTGCACAAATACACACTGATGACCTCACAGGCCTGAGTCACTACAGATTTTATTTATTTATTTATTCTTTTTTTATTTTTTGCTTTCTTCTTCTCTGTGTGCCTGAAAATCAGAGCGAGATTTTTCTTTGTCTCTAAGAAAAGAGACAAACCAGCTTCTTCCCTCGTTCCCCGGCAGCAGCCTGAGGTGCATCCACGAAGGGTAAACAGGCTGCAGTGCAGCAGGTGAAGACTTGCTCAGAGACACTTAAAGGGTCAATTCACCCAAATACTAAAAAAAACAAACAAACAAAAACAAAAAAAAGTCAACAAACAAAAATGAAATCTGGGACACTGCAGCTTTGGTGTTTGAGTTGTGTCATAACCACGAGGCGACTGGAGGTTTCAGCTGCACTCCATGGTCTTCAAATAGACTAAATATCACACACACACACACACACACACACACACTGGGTGGCAGGTGAACATACAGTGGCTCGGGAGGGGCTTCTGTGTGTGTGATTCAGACCATTGACCTGGAACACATTGGGTACTGAGAGAATAAAAACTATTNTCAGAGCGAGATTTTTCTTTGTCTCTAAGAAAAGAGACAAACCAGCTTCTTCCCTCGTTCCCCGGCAGCAGCCTGAGGTGCATCCACGAAGGGTAAACAGGCTGCAGTGCAGCAGGTGAAGACTTGCTCAGAGACACTTAAAGGGTCAATTCACCCAAATACTAAAAAAAAAAAACAAACAAAAACAAAAAAAAGTCAACAAACAAAAATGAAATCTGGGACACTGCAGCTTTGGTGTTTGAGTTGTGTCATAACCACGAGGCGACTGGAGGTTTCAGCTGCACTCCATGGTCTTCAAATAGACTAAATATGTGTTTTGTTTTTTTTAAACATAGTAATCCCTGAAAGAAGTGAGATTGTCTTTATAATTCGGGCGACCTGACCCTTTAAATGCTCCCACCTGGTCCCAGGATCGGAAGCCACCGTCACAGCAGGGAAACGCTCTTTGGGTTTTTAATTGTGAGAGTCTGTGCTGGTGTCATGCTCACACTTCATCCATTTTTCATCTAAACACATGAATTATGAAGAACTGCTAATGGCGGGGAGGGACAGTGGGGGTGTGGGNCACACACACACACACACACACACACACACACACACACACTGCTGGTCTCTAAGCTCAGAGTCCTCATCACTGCTGATGCAGCTCCCACTATGAAAACAATAATAATAATAATGGTCTTTGTAATACTTTTTTTGAAATCATTGTTTTAAATTCTTTTCAGTCATTTTATACTGTTCTGTATTTAATATTGATTTTCACATATTATAACATATATTATTAATATTAATAATATATTATTTTTTTATAAACATGATGACAATATGACACTTCTACTAAGCACTATCACTACACACACACACACACACACACACACACACACACACACAGATAGTGGAGTGTTTTTTCTTCCCGCTGATGC